GGAAGGGAAAAGAGGGTAAAAAAGAAGAATGGAAAAAATTGAAAAAGAAAGAGGAAGGGAAAAAAGAATGAAAGAGCAAGGAAAAGGGAAAGAAAATAAAGAAGAAGGAAAACCAAAAGAGGAGAAAAAGTAAGGAAGTGAGCAAGGAAATGAAGAAGAGAGAAGTTAGAGGGGAAGAAAGAAAAAAGACAGATAAGAAAAGAGGGGAAAAAAAGGAAAAAAGGAGATTTATATAATTCATACTGTCTGTACAATATGAGAGTTTTAAGGAAATACGGTACTAAGTTAAGCTATTTAAAATGTTTAGCTGTTTTTTTTTTTCAGAAATTATTTATGGGAAATATAATATGGTCTGTTAATATAAGTATGAAGGAGATGATTGGTTCAACTAACTACACAGACAGAGAAGGATTATAGAGGTGTAGAATCTTTGTTTTGAGTAATTTTATGATAGCTTTTCTATTTCAGTATCAGCATTACAGAAATAGTACTGTAATGTATAGTACTTCTGAGCTATGTGTAGCCACACAAGTATTACTTGCTGATACTTTGAGTAGATGTATGTATTTATGCAGACTGATTTTATTTTTTTAATTACTGTCAGTAAAGATCATTTTTTTCCTCTGCGTTGATTTCCTGTAATCAGATGGTACTGTCTTTAACTTTGTGAGCCTTCATACCTCAATTAATGCTATTTATTTCATTAGTAACTTTGTACAGTACCTAGAGAATGTGTAATGCTTCATTGGAAATGAAAAGCACAATTTCAAGGACAGAACTGAAGTTGTAGAGGAGGATTTAAGTGCTTTAATTTAGTTAAATTATTACACAATTAATTTTGTTTCTACCTTGTATAAAAGACAAATGTTTTGTCAGCTATGCTGCATTAATTTCCATATCTTAGTCTGACTCATGTATAGTCCAAATAGTGTAACTAATTCCTTCTTTCTAGGACCTCGTTTTATTTCCAGCCTGCCAATCTAAAGTCCTTTATGTGTCTTGCCTGTACATTGCATGTGGGAAATGAAGGATATTAACACTGATAGATTATTTCTGATAAAGTGTCTCAAACCGTATTGAACTCTCACAGGACTGTCTCTGCCATGTGGAGACCGACAGCACTTTCTATTCACTCGGTTCCACAGCGATGGCTCTGCTGCGTTTTACGGGGCTCTGCATAAAATAAAACATGTGGAGCCACAAGTTAGTTTCTCTTACCTACCCAGAGGATTAGGGCAGTGAGGATGTGTGCTCCTATGGAGAATGCTAGCAGTAGTTCCAAGGGAGAGAATCGAGTTGGGCAGGTGAGAAATATGTCCATCTCCTAGCTTTATGCGGGTACTGGGTGTGCTGTCTTACAACCTTAGTGTATGTCTCCCCTGAAATCATGCATAGGGGTTTCAAGGGCTCAGGACAAAAGCGAGACAGCCAGAGCAGATTTCCTCACCCTATTTTACCCAAGGAGATAGTTCACCTCAAGACCAGCTTATTTAATCTCTTTATCACTCTTAGCTCTGTGACTTGATTCTAGACTTATCTGATAAAGTATAATAATGTAAATACACATTTTAAAATGTGTAGAAACCTGTAATAACTATTCAGCAAGGTTTCTATGAACAAATATGATGGTACCTTTTATCATTTAACTATATATTTCATCTTAATAAAGGAGGATTTCACTCTGAAACTCTTAGACAAATCTGCTCTTGATGATGTTGCACTTCTTTCTAAGCAGCCCAGCTCACTCTAAGCAATAACTTCTGATAAAAAAGATGTGAATTTGAAAATTAACTTAGGCTAATAACCAACACTCATTAATCAGTTACTGTAGCCAATGTATTCTTTCTTAATTTGTTTTTCGTTTTGCTACCGGCTCTTTTTAAGGGAATCTATTTCCACACAGCCTCAGTAATAACCAAACTGGTTACTACACAGTAGTACTACAAACTGGTTTTGGTGTATCACTACACCAAAAACGCAGCATAAAGAGTCAACTTAAGTCCAACTGTAACTTAGCAGAATTATACCAGGATTGATTTTTCATCCTCTGCAGTTCCTCCATGAGTTTGAACACATTGGAAAAGATGAGAATGCAGTAAATAGTCTATATATAGTCTATCTTCTATATCTATCTTCTATGCTTCTTGATATGATGTGTAATGACAGCATACGTTTGCAAATATCTTAACAGTTTATGAGATGAAATATATCTTCCTGCTTTATTCTTGTCAAGAAAAGTAATGTAGTTTATATTGATCTTTCACTTGTATTTTTGAAAGATGGCTATTACTTATTTCAGAAAACAAATAAAAGATGTATAGATCTTTTTCTTGTATGTACTCTTCTTCGGATATGAGAGAATAAGAAAGAAAGGATCTGAAATGCACCATCTAAATGGAGTAAATTCCTTTGTTGTTTTCTTACTTCTTTGTCAGCATAGGTTTCCTGAATATCTTGGAAGCATTAGAAGAGTATTTTAGGAGCATTAGAAGATGTGCAGTTTACATTTGTAATTCGGAATACAAAAAAACCCATGTCTTGAATACTAAGTTTTTAATAAGAGTACTTCACTCTTCCTGTTTGTTGCCCATTAAACTAACTGTCCAGATTCATTGTGATACCATCTAGTATTCTGAAATAAACAGGATGTGGCTTGATTTTACTTTCAGAAATACGTGTGTGTCAGGAGAAATTCATGGAATGTGAACACTATGAGAGACTTTTTCTAAAACCAAGAATAATTTGAAAGTGCTTTGGTTTTTTTCTTAAATTTTGTATTATAAAATGCTGTAAATACATATATATATAATGTGTATATGTGGTAAAACACTAAGAGGGCATAGATTTGACAGCTTACTGCTGTGAGTACCTATTTGACGTACATATTTCATGGCACATGTTCTTACTGAAGAAAAGGCAGCTGCTTCCATCATCACCCTAAAAACTAACCATTTTTTGCAACAGGTAGTGCATATGATAATTCTTTCATTCAGCAATAGATATATCGGTTTTTAAACGTGGAAAGACCGTACAAGTATATAGATATTAAAAAGTGAACTTTTTTACTGTGAACTTTATCCTTTCTTATATATTGTTTTGCCTTTTTTACTTCAGGTTTATGATGCTTAACCTAGCTTAAACAAAGCCACAAAATGCATACATGAAGAGAAAGAAATTTGATAGTAGAGTATTCTTCAGTCAGGCAAATAAAAATAAAACATCGCAACTGGAAGCTCAAGCTAACAACATTCAGACTTGATTTAAAGTACAAATTTTCAAGTAAGAGCATTCATACCTGAAGTATTATACATGGTTACATTCCTTAGTAATGACATTTTTTAAAATCTAAATTGTCTATTTAACATCAATAAATAAATACAATATTTATAATACAGTTAGAGTCTGCAGAATTACTTCTGATGTATTGCAAACTCTTTCCTAACTACTTTACTGCCAGGATGATGATAGATGAAGTAAAATAGTTGGATAAGTACTCCTATACTCTACCAAAGACGTTCCTAACCTTCCTTGTAATTGCTCCAAATGCAGTGCTAGTCGTTACTGTGCAAGAAGTAGGTATTCAGCAAAGGACAGCAAATGACATTTGGAACAGCAGTAGGTGAACGAGGACGAACTACTCATGATTCAGAGCAGCTAACATTGCACTTAAAATATCAAATAAAACCAATTCAATTAGGAACACATCAAGTAGGCAAGTTGTGCGCTCCTCTACTTCAAAGTCATTCTTCTAAAGAAAATTACAACAAATTTCCATTGGGGACTATCTGTGATGCTCAGTTAGGGCTGCGTCTTGCTCTCAAATGCCATAAATCATTTCCTTTTTCACACTTCATCCCCAGCACTCCCATTTCAGGCAGCAAGAAACCACCACCAGAAATCTTAGTGCCCAAGCATCCCAGGAGAAAATGCAGAGATTATTCACTGGGTCGCCTTCTTCGTTTCATTGTGTGTTTCTTTTTTTGAAAGTAAAAGTACTTTTGTGTGCATGTGGCTACATATAGAGTACATGCTCATGTATGTGTGTGTTTAAATTATTATTTTTGTTTTTATCCTGTTTAAAGAGCTTGATCGAACCACTGTTCATTGCGAACGAATTTGTGACCTTGTGAAGCTGCAGCATGCGAACGTCTCGGAGAAGGACAGCCGATGTACAAAGGCTGCATTGAGTGTGTGGGCAGGCAGGGATGCTGGTACCAGGCAGCTCTCTAAAGAATGTTCTTTTGGCAGAAACAGCCGTGCTAAAAGTGAGGGCGAAAAATGAATTCAAAATGTAGAGTTGGCCTGCAGTTATGAAGCGATAAGAAAAGTTGGCTGTTCAACACGAGCTGCCAGTTGCATATTCTAGGTCCTTGCTATTCTCAGGCCCTCCTACAGCCATGGCCCTGACCAGTGTTTTGATACAGCACAAAGTGGCTGTTTATTGCTATTGACTGCTGAGGCCTGTGCTCCGAATTGCCTTCTGTCAACAGAATGTAAGTGAACTTGGCATTTTAAAGCTCGGCTGCTGCAGATGCGTAGATTTCTTGGAATTGCCATGCAGCAGGATCGGTGTTGCAGTCCCCAGCTGAAACTGAAAATGTTGCACAGGAAGACGTATCATGTGAAGGTCAGATTTACCTAAAATCCTGAGGGTTTTGTGGGGTTGTTTTCCCTCATCAGCAACGTAAATATATCTTGTCCCTGCTTTGTTGCCTGTCAAAGGCAATTGATACATAATTGTAAAAATATATTTGTATAAATACAAAATTATAACTTTCTAGTGTGCTCTGTATGGAAAAGAGGTCGTTATTCAGTGCAAATGGCTTTCATGTGAAAGGGAAACATGGCTGTGTATACAGTACGTAATATTGCCATAAAAGGAGTAATCAAAATCTGTGCTACCTCTATGTTTCACTGAGGACTTTTCCACTTTTTTGAAAGGTGATAGTTCCTATGATTTTGTAAGAAATCACATATATTGCTTTCTATTGCTTCCATAGGAATTACAGGAGGAAATTGATGCTCATACTGACATCTTTCACAACCTGGATGAAAACGGGCAGAAAATCCTAAGGTCCCTGGAAGGCTCTGAGGATGCAGCCCTGTTGCAGAGACGCCTGGATAACATGAACTTCAGATGGAGTGAGCTTAGGAAGAAATCTCTAAACATTAGGTAGGACCTTAACGTAAGCGAAAGCCTATAGTAGGTGTGTAAGATGGGATGCTACATTTTGCCAGTAAAAAGGTTTAATTTTGTGTCTGACAGCACTATTTTTGCTCATTTTGAAATGACTTGTGCTATCTTGAATGTTGACTTAACTTTGTAAAAATCACTAGGTTTTTTGGTGTGAAAATGATAGTAGAGGATTAGGATTTAAGGCATACAATGAAGTTTTGTAATTGCAAAAGGAGAGATTAACATGTTGAAACAGTAACTGTACCCCCTCTAAATGTAGACTTTTTCTAGAGCTGGATATGACTTATCAGTGAGTCATGAAAGTGATTAAACAACCTTTATTTACAATAAGCTTTATTTCTAAGGCTGCTATTTCCAATACAAAACTAAGAATAGGCTTGCAAATGAGAAGACACACTATTTAAGATTTTAGCTGTTGTCTGGAGAGCTAACAGGATGGACAAATAAAATCTAGTGGTAAAAGATATCCATAGGTAGTGTTATGAGAGGAAGAACTCCTTGCAAGGAAAAATACAATAAATGATAATGCTACAAATGATGAAGTGGAGGTACAGACTTCAATGGGCTGAAGATTTCTTTTCAAAATAAGTTGTCCAGGAAGCTTCTCTTCAGAAATTCGGCTTTAACAATAGGCAACCCAGCTCTCTTGCATTCAGTCTCGGGTGTTTTTTCTTTTGCTCTCTTGCTATGTGTTGGCGGTAGTTCAGAGGGCTGCAAAAGGCAGAAGTGTTTTTCAAAGTAATGTATGAAATATTAGCTTTTTTCAGCTCAGTCCCTGAGGGAGGTCAGTCTGTGTAATGACAAAAGCCATCTTCATAACATCAATCATTAAAAATAAATGAAAGATGTGAGGTTGAAAAGATATTAGCAGCTAAAGAGAGAGAGATACACATTTCCCCTTTTTTTACCTGAGGATCAAAAGAAGAGGGATTTAACCTTTCAATGTCTCTTTGAGATTTTTTTTCTTCACATGCCTTTTGTCCATGAACTTGACTAAATGCAGCAAAGTTTGAGAAAAGAAAAACAGTTGCTCACATATCAGTATTTAAATATATGGGACTTTGTCTTTCTTTTTTTGCAGTTTAATGTATCACTGTCATTAATCGAGTCAGAAATAGTAGCCGTAGTTATATCACAGTGACTTCTTGCATTAAATATTCAAAGCAAAAGACCTTCTCTCTAAAATATTTGTTTTCAATAAAAGGCTTAAGGTATTCAACAACTTATTGATTAGGATAAGAAACAGTTCTTAACTTCTAAGACATTCACTTTTAATTTTGCTGATCACCAGACTGAATAAACAGGCTATTCTCAGTCTGACAGCTTTAAGCTATTTCTTTCCATTACACAGTATGGAATGGATTTCATCCTAACTAGCAATGCTTATACAGAAAAGTATAAGAGCAGACACATGAAATGTTTCCCAGGCATCAGTCCCACAAGTCTTCTTATTTAGCTTAAGTTTTAGACTGCTGAAACAGAAGACTCACACTGTCACTCAGCTTAGGTGGGCATTCTTTTCTAAATCCTTTACATAAAATATATGGTAGATATCAAGAGAAGTCAAGTTCATTTCCTTTATCACCTTTCTTTCATTCTGATAAGTCAGCATAGTTTATCCTAAGAGACACTTTCTTTCCTATAACTAACTCATTTTTTAAAACAATTTTCCTATTATCTGTTTTGTCTACACATGCTTGAACACAGTTATAAATATATGAGTGTATGCATACAATTTGCACTAGCATGCACATACATAAACATGTATTCCTGAAACCGAAGGAAAGGCAGAACAAGATGGATTCAGTTCACCAAACTGGAGATGCTCAGAGCACAGCATCAGTAACAAAACCACTTTGGGTCACTCTTTTTGCACAGTTTTTCCTATAAAGCCAGAGCTGGGGAAGCAAGGAAGAAGTGAAGAGCCTAGTGTTTTCCTCCAGTTGCTGCCCTTGCCTGGAGGAGGTGGAAGTTTGTGTTTGCTGAGATAAACATGGGATATAGGAGTTAACCTGACTGAGAAATGGTTCCTTGACCGTGTCCCCTCCAAAAGCCCTGTGATCCTTGCTCTGGCTGTCACCTTCTGCAACTCCTCATACAACATCCCCACTTCTCTCCCCCGTCACTGCTTTCAGAGGCATCCTGGGGCTTCCCCAGCCCTCCCTGCCTGCAGGGCTGACCTCCCCCAGTTCTGACCCTGCCTGCAGCTGTCCTGCTAGAGCAGAGATCAAAAGACAGCATGGTCTACGTGTGTCCCTCCCATACAGCTCTAAGCTTGAAAAAGAAGAAAATTTTCCATCAGCTCACATACCAGAGCAGATGAGCTTTCTGTCAGCCTATGGCTAATCTGTCCCTTTCCTTTCTCTTTCCCCGACGCTCCAACTGCCTGGTGTAAGAGTCTAGAAAGAAGACAGGATCCATAGAGCATTTCAAAGAAATACAGCTGTGCTTACATTCAGCAGTTACTCATTTCCATATCCAAACAAAGTAATAAGCTTTGCAAAGCACTGAGTCCATATTTTTCACATTTCTTTATAGACCATCCTGTATGAGGTATAGGAGTAGAATTTTCACTGTCATAAAATATGTGATTTTACATGCAATCACTGAAAAAGAAATGTTATATGAACAAAGCTGGAAGTTAAACAAAAAATATATGGAATAAAAGAAAATATGTCTTTATTTTCCAGTTCGTTTTATCACTTTATTGTTATCTAATACTGCTTTTGATTTGAATTACTAAGAGGAATTCTTAAGTTATCTGGAAATGAGTTAGGAATTTTTTTCCTAACCAGCAATTAAAAAACCCCCATATTCATAGGTCAGGAAAGATGATATTTTAGTGTACTTTATCTATGGTATAAACAAAATTGAAGATTTGATCAGTCCAGTGATGTTTCAGTCACATATTTTCTCTCTACAGAAAACAGTTGCTGAAAATCAAGTAGCTCAATACTTGATCTCTGTATTTAAAAAACTACATTTATACACACACACACACATGCAGAGGAAATATTTAGAAGATATCCTCATGGTGGAGACCTTGTTTTCACAAAGTAGGATTTTGTCTTTTCGTTTTTCCAATGATTCAGTTAGTTTCATTCACACCACTGTTCAAATGGCACAGATATTTGAGTAGTGTAAGAGGATTCCATTGGCTTTAACAATTTTCTCATTACTTTTTTGGGAAAGAATGGTATTGGTTCTCTTATCTTAAAGGTGAGCAACCACATGAATCTTGTATGAGTTTGAATGGTTTGTGTAGTGGTTTAGAGAAATGCTTATTCTTCTCTGAGTTGAAAACTATTCTCTATGTTTTAGAGAATTAATCTCCTAGTAATCTTAAGTGATGACTAAATTACTCTCATGCTAGTCCTGCATAACATATGTGAACATTTAGTGAGACTAACAATTCAACACAGCTACAGCTATTGCTCAGTGCTGAAGAGGAAAACTGAAAAAAAAAAGAAAAAAGAAAAGAGATGGGAAAAGAACAGATGTTTCAGGCCAGGACTGTGGAATCAAATTTAAATCAGTGTTGCCAAAATCTAACTCAAAGCTACTGAAGCTATTTAAAAATCATTAAGTTAATGAAACACTCAGTTAATAAGCTTGTACAATTTGGGTTTTATTTTCACTGTGCCTGAATATGTCTTATATTTAACACTTGCTTTCAGATCCCATTTGGAAGCCAGTACAGACCAGTGGAAGCGTTTACATCTCTCTCTTCAGGAACTTTTGGCATGGCTGCAATTGAAGGAGGATGAATTAAAACAGCAAGCACCCATTGGTGGAGATCTTCCCACTGTGCAGAAACAGAATGATATTCATAGGGTAAGACTTTTTAAAAAATGTTCTTTCATTGCTTTTTGTTTTGCAGGTTAGTGCTGCAGGAAACTCCTTGTTGGAAAGATACCCTTTAAAATACATTTTAGAGACAATGAAAACTGAACTTTTTACATGAGAGTACTAGCTACAATTTTCAAACACATCTTAGAAAATCAGCCTTTTAGACAAGGGAGCATTTACTACCAACAGCTTGGCTTATTTGAAAGCAACACAGCATTTTCATAGACCTATCATAGACAGCTAGTTTTCATGGCTAGAGCAAATACTAACTCAATTATTGAGGATTTAAATATTTGAGGATTAAATAAGTAGTTCTGAAATTTTTTCTAGATCAGGTATTTAAACTTCATGTGTACTTTTTCAAAATCCGTTTTGCTATTGATTTTTGGGAGTATTTGTGAAAAGAGTAGCTGATATCAGCCCAAATGTACAACTGTGTGCCTCATGAAACCATTGTGATAACTGACTGAAACTGTCTATGGCTTATACTAACTTCATCAGGGAATCCTTATGGAAAGGCAATAGCAGAGCATCGTATGAGGACCGTTCTAGACAGAGCTTTGCAGTAAAAAAGAATCTAAATCCAGCACTTGTATGGGATTTTTTTTTTTAAACATACCAAATGAACAACTCCCAAAATAACACAATACTGCTGAATAATTCTTGATACAAAGATTCACAGGTTTTTTGTGGGGATGCTTTAAGCATATTTCCTGTATTGAATCAAGTTCACACCTATCTGATGCTAACCTAATGTCTACTTTCAAGAAAACAACTTTTAATTTCCTATACCATTTCGGTATATCAGGTCAGAACATGAAATCACAGTTCTAGTACCTCAGTGGTGCTTTTTAAGTAGTGCCGTAAGGAAACCCATTAGGAAGCTAGTGCCCTGCTAAAATAAAGCTGAAGAATTGCTGAATGAAGCAGTAAATGGGGAGAAGCTATTGTTAAGAGGAGAAGGAATAGGGAACCACTCAAAATGTAACCGGGATAGCACACCCAACTTCAGCAACTCCTATCACTTATGAACTCCATAAAATCCTGTCTAGCCTTTATGATAAGACTTCTGTTTCTTTTGTGTTAGTTTCTGATGAAAACTTTAATCTAGGAAGCACCAGTTAATAACAGATGTCTATAACAGAAACCAGACCTCAACATACTAGAACAGATCCTGATTCAGTAGGAAGTTGGGAATACAGTGTCAGCGTTCTTTTTTACAGAGAACAGTATAATATCAAGGACAAGGAACCTTGCTAATAAAAAGAAATTGTCCTCTCATGTTTAAAAGGTAAATCTACATAGCAATTGGAATTAACCATTCAAGTGTTTATACTAGGACATTTCTGCACTATACACTATACAATTTCTTGGAATTTACTTGGATGTAGTGTTATAGCTCTCTTCTCCTTCATTCACGTGTCTTTTGTTAAAATAATGACATTATGGGAGGATTTTTCCTCCTGTGTGGTGACCAGGTATGTTTGTGTGACATCTAAAAAGTTATTTTGAACAAACGTGTTTTCTATTGAATAAATTAAATTGTCAGTCAGATAGTTTGATATCATGATAAGAGAATATTCCAAAAACAGTGATCATCTTCTCAAAGCATTGTGCTGCATATGTGTAACTTGCCTCAAAAGATATTGTTTCCAAAGTTCCTAAATCTCTGATTTTAGTGCTGAATGGAGAAATGTGAAATGATACTATAAAATTAAGCTGGATCTGCAATACCTATGTTTTCTCCATTCATACGGTAGCTATATTATAAATATTACTGTAATAGATTATCCTACCTCATGCTGAAGGACATATTTGAGAACAAATAGTGAAAAGATCAAGTTTGGAAAGAGAATGTGCTGTATCTTGCTGCTTTATGTTATTGGGAAACTTGAGTTTGTGAAAAGTCTGGAAATATTGTATGCAACAAGGCTTAGCTTTTGGCATAGACAAATAGGAATTTGTCTGTGATCGAAGACTGATGGGAGGTAGTGGCAATATGGTTTCTCAAGGGCCTTTCTTTACCTAATGGCCAAGAAAGAGAAGGATGAACAAAAAACATCCCACTGTCAGTGCACAATGCTTTGCTAAGATAATATAATGCTTTGGTGCAAGAGGCAGCTTGGTCAGAATTCCTACGTCTTCCTTTTGGAGAGATGATGTGTAGGACGTGTCTTTCTTACAAAACTTTACTTGGGACTTCAAGCATTATCACAGAAACTGTGAGGCGAAAACATCCATGACTTTATGAAGCACCACCATCCCATTTTTCCTTTTCTCAGTGAAATTAAGATATATGAAATGTCTGAGGTCTGTTCCAGCCAGCTGTCTGTAGCAGCTTCCATAAAGTAGTTTTAAAGTCCATCCAGAATATCAGGATGAAAGAAACTCAGCACATTAACTCAAATCCTTTATCAGAAGACAACTCTTGAGCCAAAGCAAGACTTAGAGAAGGATTTGTGTATAATTTTTACAACAAAACTTTTGTTATCTGAATAATATTCAAGTATTTTAAAACAGTACCTCTCCTCCTAGATTGAAGAAATATTTTTTTATCTAGAGAAATTACTTCTCATAAAATGTTAACATTGTGTATTGTTCAGTGAGCTTATTTGAAAGGTTCAGAATTCATCATAAAGGTGGAAAGACTTCAGTGATGGACTAAGTGATCTCTCTGTCACTCACCAATCAACTGAAGTGTTTAAATCTTTTAGGGATGAGAAGTGTGGCATAAAATTAAGGTACCATGAATTGGTGCAAAATGACTTTACAAAATTGATCTCTTTCTCACTTCTCCTTTTTGATTACCTTCTCTCCCACATGCAGATACATGCAGACGCAAATCTTTGATCGTCATGTCTAGTATTAAACCTAGAATGTTTTAATTCTTCTTAGAAATAGAACTTTCCTCTTCCCGTTCTGTAGCACTTTCATAATCTAATGTGAGGCCTTTCTAGTTGTAGGTAGTCTGATTCCCTGTGAAAAAAATAACAAAACACAATGCTTGAAATTAGGATACCTCTCTACTCTTCAAAAATTTCTTATAGAGAAGGAGGGAAAAGCAATCAGTGCAGAACTCAGTCGACTTCAGGTTAGCTTTGACAAAATCTGTGTTTGTGGCTTGGAGTTTTTTTACTGTATTTCTTTATTCTCCCTGGACACTATGGACTTTCTGTTACTCTAAAAGTTTCTTTTAGAGAAGAAAACATACGAAGGCTGTATCTAAACAAACAGCTTAACTAATTTCTGCACATCAGAAAAATGCTTATTAAAAGGCTCACACTAAAAGTGTAGAAGTATCTAGCTTAAAACTGGACCACAGTACTGGAAAGCTGTTTTTTTTAAGAGTTTTGGATCCTTGCTTCAGAACAAAACTTATCTCTCAAAGTATTGGATAAGAAAGTAAAGACTAGTTGAATTTTGGTTTTGAGAAAAAGAATCTGCCAATTGTTCATTTTGTTCTCCTGAATATCAGTTCTGGAAATCAGTCCTCGGTAAACAAGCAAAGTCTCTGCCTGCTCTGACCAACCTTTGCAATGATCCAAACTTCCAGCTTTGGTCTTCCTATGTCAGTACAATGCCTTTTCTTCTGTGAAGAATTGTTTTTGCCTGGTAAAGCCAGAAGAGAAACCAAGTAAGTTCTCCATTAGAAAAGAGAAAAAGCCTCAGCAGGAGAACATTATTTATAAACAATTTAACTGATTACCATTGAGAAATGACATGATGAATGCAAACATGATTTTATGCTTGAATCCTTTTTCTAAAGTGATGTTACAAGCCAAATTTATATTTTTTTTCCCCCTTAAGAATGTAATTTAAAGAGAAAAAAACATATTTAACATGTATCTTTTAGTTGACCATCTGGAATATCTCAGACATTCGTAGAACAGATGAAAAGAAGTTGATTCTTATCATTAGTATGCTTCTTGTTGCCCAGATTACTGTAAAAATTTTAAAAATAGGGTTCAGATGAAAATTTCAATTGCTTGAATCTATGCCAGAGGAGTGCTTGAACTCTACTGAGAAAAGAGATATCCATGCAGTAAAATCATTGTTGTGTTATAAATGTGAGGTGCTTTTCAAACAAAGTAATTTGGAGTTTATCCCAAATACATAACTGCTATTTATTTGAACTTATATATACAGTGGGTCATTTTGTCAATTTTTGGTACCTGAAGAAATTGTGTCTATGCCAAAGTGATAGAATGGCAGGAGGGAGTGGAGTTAATCAATGATAAATAAATGCTGCTGTTCATCAAAGCTTTATTGCATTCTTTTGCAATTTTCTTTACTAAGCATCATAACATTTTCCTGAAATCACATTAATAACTGTGTACATGTTACTGTTAATCTCAGTTAAGAAACTTAGGTATCATGCAGATGTCCTGCATTTTTTTCATTCTTTTACGAGTTGATACATCTTCTACGTAGTGATTATATTAACAGCATAAATAGCATTTATGAACATAGAAGTTAATTATTAACAATTCCCTGGAATCCCTTTCTCATTAAATCTTAAGCAACAGTGCCTAAGAAGGAGTACAACTCCTGCTTGAACACACTAACCTTTTCTGGTGGCACAGCTGATATCTACTTTTTAAAACTGAGGTCAAAACCCATTTTTACAAAGCATACTGGTTGGGAAACATCTTGAATTAATTTAATTGTACCTTTTCTCTTTAAAAAATCATTAAAAGCAGAAATACCTGCTTTTCTAATAATAGAGGTTAATGTTAGTTTTACTAATGCAACTCTTATTGTATTTTCATCTTTCGATTTATACAGTCTGTGCTTCTCCAACTAAAGAGATTTAAGGACACCCATGAGGAGGTAGTGGGGGTCTGAGATAAGCCGATCAATATATGCATTATTAAAATGGTGGACTGAATGCTGTTACTGCTGCAGTGTTGATGACAAATAGAGATGCTTAAATAAAGTAGTTCACTTGTTTTTTTGTCAGGTCGTACATTATGCATGTTCGATTTCCTCTACAGTCACCACAAAGTGTGCAAGAAGTTAAGGAATCCAATGAAGTTAGCCTGAAATCATTAGCTGTAAATTGGACATTCATTTAGGCTAATTCTGCTTTCAATGATGGTCTGCTTATTATAAAGATGAATTTATCAAGGCCTTAGATAGATAATTTTATTCTTTTTTCCAAAAGATTTTTATTGGTAGTGCATATGTATTTCACAACAAATCTTTAATCAGAAAAGCTGGTTTTATCTTCATAGAGTAAAAATATTTTTTGGAATGAGATAGTATGAAATGAGCGTTCATTATTTTTAATGCTATTCTGTGCTACTGCTTCAGTCTCATGTTTTTTTCATTCTCTCCTTTTAAAACTTCCTATACTGAAATATATTTTAGCTCACTCAGTAGAAGTCTACAGATCAAAACGAGAGAAGGCAATGAGAATTGTAAATAGATCTTAACACTCTACTGTGTACCATTGAAAAACTCAGGATTTACAGACTAATCCCATCCACCTGCTCCAACATCCCAAATGGAAAAGTTGGAAAAGAAAACATTTAACACATTGGCTGACTGTTTTCCTTCAGTAAAAGAGAAAGAGGTTCTTTCTGTTTGTGACCAAGTACAAAATATGCAAAGTCAGAGAGTTCCCGTTAGGATTTCTCTATTGTTCTGCAAAGATAAGTGCAATGCTTCCTGCTCACATGCTTTATGGGATGCACTATGCGGATCTGATTATGTTGTCCTTGTTCTGTTGCACAAGATGTATTGGAGGAATGTGGCTTTAACACTCTTTTAGAAATATAATACCACTAGGTGTATTTAGTTGGGACAGTTTTATTCAAAAGTAGTACAAACTGAAAGAAGCTATTTTGTGTCCTTCTCGTTGTTTGTACATGTACATAGCTAGGATTGACCTGACTACAGCAGCAGCACTCCATACAGCAGTTCTACTCATACACAAAAAATAGTTCAAAGGCTTTTCTGGCTTTTAAATATCCTTTAAATTGGTGCAATTCTGTGTTCCCCTGGAATATCTGTGACTCCTTCCTGCTCTTTGTATGTGTGGGCAGATCAGACTTCTGTGCATGTACCTCCTATTTGATTGGTTTTGGACATAGACATTTCAGAGAAATAATTTGTCTTCGGAGATATTTATAAAGTACATTATATCTTTAAGCTGTTATACAGTTGTAATGTTTAAGAACCAGTATGACTGTTGATGTCACTTTTAATGCTATCAGATTAGAGCAAAGCACACAGTCCATGAGGGAACATTTTAGGTTATCCTACCTGCTGCCTTAAGCTATAGGCCTGCCACACTCTAGTGGGACAGAATGATTTAATGTGAGTTGAGCACAAAGGCTAAAGACATAGATTTTCCGTGTTTGGAGGCATGAAAAAAGCTTATTATATTTCTTTTTTTCCATTGCACTCCATGCAAGAGTCAAATATAAATTATAAAACTTTCTAAAGCTAAAAAAGTCTAAGTTAAAGAGTTTTAACCCTGGAGTAGCCCCACTCAGTTTTTATGCAGGGCAGTGTCCAATAGTAGTTTACTTGTTAATATAAAGTGCTCATCTTTATTTGTGAAAATCGTTATTTCTTAAAGGTCAATATGATTATTTAAAACATTTGTCACATATTAATCAAACAATAGATTCCCTTATGATAGCAGATACACTCTGTGAAGGATCCCAGTGCCATTGATGTCCATGGCACAAAATTAATGATTTTTTCTTTGGAGTTTCCTTCAAGAAAGCACAGCTTGTTAAAGGGTTTTCCTGATTCACAATGACAAAACTTATGGTCAATTCTTGACCACTTAATAAAAAGTTCATTTAAATATTTGCAGTAGAATAATGTAGTGATTTCCTTACGTTTACTTTCCTGACATGTATTAAGAATCTTTTACCTGTAAATGCTCATATTATAAACTGCAGGTGTGATTCTCATTATTAGTTCTATTAGGTATTTTCTGTACAGAGCACTTCATATCCAATATAATTCAAAGTGTAATGAACTTTTTAATATTAAATTTATAATGTTTCATTAGTTTGCATAGAAACCTATTTTTTTTAAATAATTAATTTAACTGTATTGGTGAATTTATTATGTAAGAAGCCTATATAATGCCTGTATTGTAAAAAGAATTTTCTGCTCCCCAGAGTAAAATACCCATTTTTCACTCATGGCGTATGGATGTCATTTTCACAGTATTGTGTTGTGTGTTATACTGCACTACAATAATCAGCATATTTTAACTCTATGCTACTTGAAAACAATATGCATTCAACATTGTTTCATAAATAGAGAAAAAAAATGTTGAAATAAAACAGTGGTAAGGACCACTTAGGTAAATTCAATACAACATGCAAAAGACCCAATGCAGTGTGCAACCCACAGGCCAGGTTTTATCTGCATTTTTGTGCAATGAACATTTTGGATTCAGATCAATGGAGTGTTAAATAAAAAAAATAAACCAACTACATATATATATATACATGCTGAAATGTATGTACTTTCAGTAGTGTACTGAAACTTCAAATACCAACCTTGAGAATCGAACTCATGGTCATTTTAAAAACAAGGAATAGAAGACAGATAGTAAAAGGAGCTGTTGCTGGAAGAAGAAAAATGCAAATAGGAAAGAGGAAGAAAAGTCAAGAAAGGATACAGGCTCCAAAAAGCATGACAGGAAAGGAAAAGATGAAATGGAGATATATAGTTGATCTGAAAAGGAGTGGAATGTACCACTGAGCAATGCTAAATGTAAAGATATGGAAACCGATAAAAAATACTGATTAAAGCAACTGGGAATTAAGTATTTCATGAAGACTACATTATGCCCTTTAATTTTGACTCATGCATGCCTATATCTAGGCTAGATTGTATTTCTGAATTTTCACCTTGCCCTTGATTCTACATTTCAGAAATATCAGTTCATGTAATTTTGGAAGAGATGCATCTACATCACCACTAGAAGATAAAGTAATGATTTAGTATATTGAAAAATATTTATTACTGATTGTTAAGGGTTAATACATCGATATTCATAGGTCTTTATTTTTTTTCCTTATGATGTAACAGTTTACAGGAGCAGTAGCAAAGTGCTAGCTGTGAGACATTGGATTTTCCTTCATGTTCTGGTAAATTTTGCTTTCAGGAACCATTAGCTATGCTTGTGTGGTCCAATACAGAGCCAGACGAAGCCGTGCCTCTTGCAGCTTGTTTTTGGAGTTGACCCTGATGTTAATCTACGAAAGGGATTCTTCTCACAGTGAACCATTTGATCAGCACGCTTGGGTACTTTTTGGGTACAGCATTCTGACAGTACATTTGCTCCTTTGAATATAGCATGATGTCAGGTTGAGCAAAAGCTGATTCTCTCTTTTACATTTGGATTGTTCTTTTTTTTTTTGTAACTACTTGTAATATGCACACGGAAGCTGTTGTCGGAAATTTTCGTTCTTAAATTGATGAAAACAAAGGCTGACACTTGGTATTTCATTATATATCCACTTACAATAATTTTGCTTCATCTCTCAGACTTTCAAGAGGGAGTTGAAAACAAGAGAACCTGTTATCAGAAGTGCGCTTGAGACTGTGCGAATCTTCCTAGCAGAGCAGCCTGTGGAGGGGCTGGAGAAGCTCTACCCAGAACCAAGAGGTAACTGAAGAAAAAGCAGAGTAATAACACATTGCTGGAAAGATCAGTGATGATCAACAATGATTAAATAAATTCTGCCAGGCACTGTGAAAGAATTTCTTTTACACTCCAAGATGAATGCCAGTATTCAGAAATTAAACTAAAAATATAGATGAAAGAAACCCTTAGTGATCCATCTGAACACTGCGGTGCTAAATAGGCATGCATATTTATAAGCAGATTTTGAAACTGGCTTTAAACCTTCAGGAACTATCTATAACTATAAGCCCATTTGAGGTCTTGAATCTGCAATTTAACCTAAAATTCAACCTGTAGTCTCAGTACCACAGAACAAAGCAATTTGTTTAGTAACTGTATATCAGGTGTCAAACAGATCAAGTCGGACCAATTCAGCAAAGCTCCCAAATCCACTCAATCACAGCGAAAGATTCACAATGATTAATATTTATGAATGTAAAGAATTCTTTTGCTGAATCAGGATACAGCTGATAAACTTTTAGCTACACTTTGCATGTTTAAAAATGCCTTTATGTACTTAAATGTATATTTTGGTGATCTGCAGGTGGCAAGATCTAAATTTGTTAAGAGATTTTTCAAATGAGAATACATTAATAAAATAAATTTCACAGACGTCTTTAGTTTTGATTAGTTTCTTACTGAGCTTTGAACTTACCCAGATGGCAATTATTTTTCTTCTAAGATAGAATATGTTTTAAAAGCTTCTTGACTTTCCCATTTAGAGCTGTCACCTGAGGAAAGGGCCCAGAATGTCACTAAGCTTCTTCAAAGGCAAGCAGATGAGGTCAGAACTGAGTGGGATAAGCTGAATCTACAGTCTGCTGATTGGCAAAAGAAGATAGATGATGCTCTTGAAAGACTACAGGGCCTTCAGGAGGCGATGGATGAACTAGACCTGAAACTACGCCAGGCTGAAGTCTTCAAGGGATCCTGGCAGCCAGTGGGGGATCTGCTAATTGACTCTCTGCAGGATCACTTAGAAAAAGTCAAGGTATGTGTCAGTATATCAGTATTTCTGAGTATAAAATAATTGGCTTGTTCATTGTATGAATCCCTAAATCAGGAATTATCTTCTAAAATGAGAAATGGATAGCTTTGTATCATAGTGATTTATAGTTTTTTTAAACAAAAAGAAAAGTACATATGAAGAGTTTTATGATTTCTGCAGTTAGAATAGAATCAAATCAACATTGAGAATGTATATTGTCAACATGGGTAAAAAGCACTACAGGAATGTGTAAATATCCTCAAAACACTCAGTGTTAACTCAGGAAATACAGAGTTATTATTAAAGAGAACAAAACAGAATAGATAGGAGAATATACGATAAAAGTATAGAAAATTAATCTGTCCTTTATTATACTTTTGTAAGTATGATGAGTAGGTAATTGTGTCTCTACTTGTAGAGTAGAATTTAAAGAATTTAAAGTGTATGGTTTTGATGTTGTTTTGTTCTGACAGTGGGATTTGCTATCTGTCTGATGTGAGAACAAGGCCTCATACATAAGATAATTCAAAAAGAAATACCAACGCTGGAAAAATGATCATTATTTTCTATAACTTAATGCTTATCTGCTTTCAAGAGGTGTTTCAAAAAATCATTACTAATTGAAAAAACTTGTGAGGACTTGTCCTCTTTCAGCATGACTGCCATGGCCAGACTTTATAAATACTACAGAATTTCTTCAGCTAGAGCACAATAGAGGCAGTTGCCATTTTGAAAAGAACAAAAGTTCTGTTCCATTCACATAAATGGGAATCATCTGTCGTTTTGTAAGACACCTGAGCTGACTGTTATTTTCTCTAGTAGAACACTAGGGCCTACATAAGAGGAAATAACATTACTAATGGCAAGAAAAAATACCTTTAAGTCACATGTAGTTTATTAAAAAAAATAATAAAAATACAGAAATTTAATGAGTGTCCTGTGTACTTTACAAGACAAATGAAATGCTTGGTAGCTGATGAACAGTTAGCTGCAAAATTTGTTTATCTTAATTTAAATTCATAAATGAACAGAAGAGATCTATTTATAAATTCTCAGAAAGTGTCTTCTATTATAGCCATGGATTTTTTTGTGATTTTGAAGAAGATATTCTGAACAACAACAAAAAACCTGAATCCTGATACTACTGGAAAACAAATCGAGTTACTTAATTCTAAAGCTGTGACCATAACTGTTGACTTCATAATTATAGTACTGTATACCCTTTTGGCTTGTGTGTTTGTTTTTTTTAAAAAAAAAAAAAAAAAAAAGGAAAATCTGTCTTAGAGGACATAATGAAATTCTTGTAAGAGCCATGACAGAATAGAAATCTAAACACTCATGAAAATCCAGAGGTGCTATCAATCTGTAGGTGTCTGTTTATTTTTTCTGAAGTGTCAATATTAGGGCCAGACAGAAACCAAGACTTCTGTTTCAAGATTTATAATTAGATGCTACCACCTACCCCCTGATTTTTATCTCTTTTGTACACACATGATGATATTGTTCTTTCAACACCTTCTATGTGTTCATAATTAGCTTGGGTAATATAAGAACACAATAAGCCAAAAGCTGAATAATATTAACTGAGTAGTACAATAATTGCTGAAAATGTGCTATCTAGAGTGCATGTATTACTCTAAGGAAATGTAATTCCAACATAGATACTGAAGACAAATGCATGTATTAACTAAGCAATGTAAGCATGTTTGTGAAATTAATAACTGCCAAGAAAGCTACAATTGTGTCTGCAATTTTAAAAACTGCATGTTTTTAGGTTTTACCTCATTTATTCATACTTATGACATACATATATTTCCTTAGAGTGAAATCTGTTTTAGAAAACTTGTAAATCAACCAATAATTTATATAACCTTAAAACAGAGCATGTAAATACATGAAAAGTTTTCAAGTTTGCATTTGCTGCATAGAAACTGACTAGACTATAGAAACTTTGATCTTGATCCTTTATATCCTTAGCATATCTACCTAAAGTGTACAAATATTTAGAATATACTCACAACCTTAGCTATAATTGCTGGGTATAATTTTTCAAAACCTAGAAAAGAAGGTTTCATGTAAATATGTTATCCGTGACGGGAGCAATAAGATGTGATGTAAGCCTATTTTTATGTTGAATGTATTTGTTGAATAGTTAAGTTCACAACTGGTTTACTCTCTGTCTAGATAAGTTTAGACGTAACCATTATTACTATCTCAGTAATAATGAACAAATTTAGTCATTTTTTCTTCCCCCCCACCCCCACCCCCTGCCCTTTATTTTGTTTAAATGAAGCACAAACAATTGAAAATCCATTTTTGGGGGACTTCATTTCCACAGCTATCAAAGATATAAGAGAAAGAATATATTTTGGCCACTTTTCTACAAGGAATTAAAGTTAATCTAGGCCTTTCTACAAAATGTAACGCATGCTTATTTTCTTCATAAGGCTTTAATGACTACTTAAACTTTCAATAACAGTATTAGATTCATAGTTACTTGTAAACGAAACTGTTGCTTTGAGAGGAAATTATTTACTAAAAGAATTTCTAGTCTAATGCCTGAAAGTCTTAATAAGATTAAGAAAGCTAATATGGGAACATTTTCAAAAAAGAGTATGTAGAATTGACTCAAAGCATTAGCCAGGTGAACAGGAGTGTCCACTTTGTGTGTGCTGCAGAAATGAATAACATCATTCCTAGTCTAAAGTGGAGGGAAGGAGAAGAATGCTTCAACTTGCTTAGCACTGAATTGGTTCTTTCTACATGCTAATTACTTCTTCCAGTCTACAGGCCCAGTCCTTGGCTCCAAAACTGCAGTAATCCCCCAAAATGCCGTATACATATAAGAATGGAAAATGAGTTAAAACATGTTTTGTAATTCCTG